ACTCTGTGCCCAGTGCTTGCTCAGGAGCATTAGGCCTTCAACTCACAGAAGCTTCTAATTCTGAGGATTCTAGTTATCCATTTTGTCCCTTCCCTTACTTGTGCTTTTAATATCACATCTCAGAAATGATTGTTCAATCCAAGGTCACAAAGATTTTTGCCAAAGTTTTCCTCCGAGAGTTTTATGGTTTCAGCTCATATTCCATAGGATTTATATATTAAAAGAAAGGGTGCTCGGAAGCTGTTTCCTCCAGCCCTGAGCGTGTAACAAGCCTCATGTGTATGGAAGCTGCTTCTATTTTTGCTTATTGATTATTGGTTATGATTTTTATTGTTGTCATTGCCTTTACTCTAATTAGTCTCTCATTGTTTCCTATCTGAGTAGCTGCGTCCTGTTCCCTCTAGAAAGATAGTGCTTATTTGAATCCAATTCTGTGGGTGTCCAGGAGATCACCATGTGAAAGGGATCTCACAGAAACCAAGAAAGGACAACAAACACAGGACTTAGGGCCAAATCGGATGCAAGGTCAGGTGCAGGGTGGTAGAAGGGGGTGTAGGGTAGAAGAAAGGGAAAAACTACTTACCTCTCCCCCATTTCTCACAAGTTTTGTATTAGGGACCTGAGGTTTCCTCAGAGGGTTGCTGTCTGGTACCTGGGTTGCTATGGGGTGGGAGTATTGCTCTAGGCATTAGCGGAGGGCAGCACAGGCCAAAGCAGCAGTTGGGCTCCCAGCCTTAAGGCAGGGCTGGGGGAGCCTTGGTCTGCAAGGTGGGGTCAGGCTTGCAGAATCATAAAAATCCTTTCTTATTTCTACAAGCTGTTTTAACATCACGATCTTCTGGATGCCCATAGCTGCTCCCTATGGTAGCTTTATCAGGATGAGCATCATACTGCAGAGTCACAGTAACTCAGCTCCAGCCTCTTGTTCCCAGACATGGAAGCATGGAAGGGGCAGGATTTGAGCTGTGATGACATTTTCTGCTGGATAAGAGCAAATCCTGTGTCTCACTCCTTTTGTAGGACTGCAGAAGAAATAGTATCTCTGATGTTCCTCTGGTCCTCTCATTTAGCTCAGTTTTGCAGCTGGTAAACCTTGTCTCTCCCCTATCCCCCAGAGGGCTGGTGATACTGCTGTCATCATCCATGGGCCTGGGGAAACTTTGTTCTGAGTGGGCACCTAGCTGGTCTCTGTTCCCTTGTCCTCTCTAACAGTTGGACTTCACCACCTGCTCTTGGCCTTCTTGGTCTGAGATTGTACATTCCTGTGTAGAGACAGGCTCCCCTGTTCACCTCCAGGATCCCTTTCTGGGTTTTCCTCTGCAAGCCAGCCTCCCAGGGAACACATGTTTACCATTTGCCATGCAGATGGTTTGGCCTTTTTTCTAACAGTTTGTTTGGTAATTCTAACAGACTTGTGAAAAATGCATGAGACCTTCCATATACAATAGGTAGCTGAAAAGCTTGGAAGGAAATCCATGTGTGGATAACAGAGCTATTGGAAAAACTCTTTGACCCCTCTGCCCTGGTCTCAAGAGAGCTTGTGTTTAAGAGTGATCCTTATGACATTTCCATGTATATATGTATTATATCCTGAATTGGTTCATTCCCTCTATTTTTCTCCTTTCTACGTTACTCCCCTTCTTATGGTGATTTCTTTTTTTTTTTCCTTTTGCTTTTATTATTCATATGTGCATACAAGGCTTGGTTCATTTCTTCCCCCTGCCCCCACCCGCTCCCTTATAGGAGAGTAAAAAACATTCCATTGATTGGTACCAGTGTGTGTGGGAGGATAGAAAGAAAGGGGTAAGAGAGTGAATGTGGTAGAAATATTATGTATGAAAATGGAAAAATGAGATATGAATGCTGAGATGGGGATAAAGGAGAGTGATGGAAGGGGTGAATTCAACTATGATATAAGATCTTTTACTATGTAAAGTTCTTACTATGATGTAAGAACTTTTGTAAATGTTATGATATATCCCCAGTACAATAATAATATGAAAAAAAAACTAAGTTTAATTAAATAAAATGGGATATAAAGAAAAAAAAAAGAGTGATCCTTCCTTTTGTGCTGATGCTTGGGGTGGGGGCCTGCTTGGCAGATATTTTTGCCTTTGGTTTCACATGGCTTCTTTCCCTTATGAGTTTGGCTTAAACTCATATCTTGGTGATTTGGAATTCTCTTTAAATGTTACTGCCCTAGTGTATTAACCTGAGGCCAGCATTAGCCTTGTTTCTCAGCAGCTGGCAGCTACTCCTTGGACCTACGAGGGAGCTCTTTTTGTAAAGCAGGAAGGTATGTGCCCCATGTTTTGAATGGCCTCAGTTGCTGGGGAAGAACAGGGCCATCCCAGCATCACTGGCATCTCTAACATTGCCTTCTTGGTGAAGGAGGGCAGCAAGTGCATGTGACCCTACTTCACCTGTAGTTCCTTCAATAAGTGGCTGTCCCCCGGTCCAATGCAGCCCTGTATATCTTGAAGGCCACCTCCACAGACACTGCCCCTTAGGTTTCTGCAGCTTTACGAGGATCTTTGTGGTTATTGCAGTAACTCCTCAGAGATCCTGAAAAGCCCTGTGGCCTGCCCAGAGGTGACACCAAAAGGTGTCAACTTCCTGATACACCAGGCTGCTTCTGATCTTTTGTGATTCAGTGAATGGGGCTTTCAGAGCCTGGCCCATAATGTGAACCTGTGGCCAGCCTCAGCTGGGGGAGCAAAGCATAGAGGCTTTTGCTTGTCATGTGTTTCTGCACCCTGTATAATGCCCCAGCACTGTCCTTGATGTAACATTTGTGGATGGCCACTTAGCACTAGGACAGTAATTTGATTCTGTAGTATGTTTGAGCCATGGTGGAGGGGATGGCTTGTGAATGACCAGGTCCCATGGAAGCAGAGACTTGGTTTAGAGGACACACTCTGATAAAGGAATGATGCTAAGAGGGATCATTCCCTTCAGGGACCCCCACAGGAGAGGCAGTATGGGTGAGGCTGAGACTGTGGGGAAAGAGGTAGCTGTGGATAAGGCCTTCCTTAGGAATCCTCTGGCCTCATACCCCTGCCCTGCCCTGTGTCAGGGGCAGATGTGGATGCTCCCACATCAGCTGCTTGGCCCATTCTGCGTTAGCAGCTTGTCAGGACCAAGTTGACCTGCTGATGGTCGTGTCTCTAAGGAGGAGGAAAAAGTGGTGTAGGGTTGTGTTCTGCAGTCAGGTCTGTAGCACAGATGTGCAATGAGGGGTATTTGCAGGTAGGGCCTTGGAATCCACTAGAATGGAGGCCTCCCAGATGGTATACTGCCACCACCTAGGGCTGGTGGGAGCTTTCAGACATCCAGGGGAAAGGTCACAAGGGAGCCACAACGAGATCTTCTGGTGTGCAATTCACTAGAGACAGATTTCAGACAAGACGTGGTTAGGAATCTCTGACTTTTGCCTCGAGTACTCTTAAAATGATTACTAGGAACCCAAGTAGGTTCACTTAAAAAGAAAAGTCCACATGGATCTTTCTTTCTTTGATAAAGTTTACTAGAAAGAGAAGCATTGTGGGTGTTTCCCTTCTCTGACCTTTGTTGACCTCACACTGTTATATGGGCTGGAGGTGGGGGCAACCAGTATGTGTGTGGAAGCAAACTGGTGTCTTAGTTTCCCAGGGCTGTTGTCACCAAGTACCAGAAACTGGGTGGCTTGAAAACACCAGAAGTCTCTTCTCCCACAGTTCTACAGGCATAACGCCTGAAATCAAGGTGTAAGCAGGGCAGGTTCCTTGTGGGCTCTGAGGAAGGCTCTATGCCATGCCTCTCTCATCTGGCTCCAATGGCAGCAGGCAATCCTTGGTGCTCCTTGCCTTGTAGATTTCCCTGTCTTCACATGGCTTTCTCCCTGTGTGTGTCCCATCTCTTCCATTTTATAAGGAGACCAGTCAGTGGACTCACCCATGTCCAGTAGGTCCTCATCATAACTCGATTGTATCTGGGGACCCTATTTCCAAGTAGGACCACATTCACAGTTACCAGATTAGGACTGGAATATGTTTTGGGGGGAGCCAGCCTTTTCCCTGAGATCCTCTCTCATCTTTCCAGTATCCCGTAATTTTGTCCTTAGACTCATGGCATTTAAGGAGCCAGAGGGACAGTCTCACTATCTGTCTACAAGTTTCTCTAGGCCACCAAGGTGGCTCAGGCTTTTGCAGTCACTGTGGCATGGCAGGGCCATGATCCCCGGGGCTTTTCTGTCTCCTGGCCTGTGCATCCCTAGAAACCCTCTGCCCTGCGTTTTATTGGATTCTCCTATAGGTAGTGGTGTTGTTGTTGTTGTTGTTCTCACTAAGTTTTTGTTACTTCTCCAATAAGATGCCACATTCCTTAAAGATTGAGTTTGTTGTTTTCTTGAGTTTCACGGTGTTCATGAAGTATGAGAGGAAAATCTGAGTGTTGAGTGGCCTGTGGCACATTTCCCTCTATTATACCTTCCTACAGAGTTTCTCGTGACCCCAGCCTCCTTCGACTTCCACTCTGGTCCTAGCTCAGAGTCCTTATCGATGCAGGTGCTAGGCTGGTTCTATCATGGAGTGGAAGCAACACACGCCACAGGCTGGTTTCAGGTGCGGCTTTATCCAGGAGTCAAAGGACCTGACCACATCCTGGCTGCTGTTCTGCTCTGGGTTCTGTTTTCTGAGTTTAGGTCTTAGTTAAGCCTCTCCTGAAATCCCCATGGTGACTTCACAGTTTCTCAGTCTCCATGCTTCCTCCTCCTCTGTGAGGCCAAGAACATCCTAGATCCACATTCCCAGCAGGAGTTCTGAGCCTGTCTCTGGTTGGATGGACTCAGGATCACATGTCCTTTCCTGATCCAGTATTGCTATTTTTTTTTTTAAACAAAAGTCACAAGATTAGGGAGGGGCAAGAGAGGGACAAATATATAGAGGAGTCAGGGGATAAAATCACCTTCCTCATTTTGGCACCAGTTTTCTTCTCTAACCAGGAGTGGGCTTTTCTTTCAGGAGTACATTGATGCCCACCCTGAGACCATCGTCCTGGACCCCATCCCTGCCATCAGGACCCTGCTTGACCGCTCCAAGTCTTATGAACTCATCCGGAAGATCGAGGCCTACATGAAAGGTATAGACACTTTGATGTGACACCTTGGCAAGCAGCCCGCCTCTGTGGTCACTGTACAAGGTGGGGGCAAGGGTCTTATCTTGTCACTTTGGCACAAGAAGAGGTTGAGTTCCTTGGGGGCAGCCATTCTAGGGAGGCCCTTCCCTTCTCTTCTGTGACAAATAAGAGCCCTGGGGCACTCTTTAGAAGACTGCCTCTGACCATGGCAAGAGCATTTTGTTTGGTTGTGCTGAACCCCTGGGGGACGATGAAGTTTCCTGATAACACAGTGGTTAGGGAGCAGGAGTATGTGTAGAATTGCTCATGGCGGCAGGCAGACGAGGGAGTTATGTAACCAGGCAAAGGAGACCAACAGAAATTTGGGGCCTTTGATCAAACACATGGAACTATGTAATGTGGCTGGTGGCCTCACAGGGTACACTTTGTTCTCATGGGTGGGGCCTCCCTCCTAACTGTGGAGCTTCTGCTGGCTGCTGGCTCTCATCCCTGGAACTTCTCTCCCCACACCCATCCCACCAGGGAGCCTCAGAGAAGTCCAGAGGCCTTTCAGGGTGTGTTTACATGAGAGGGAGGTTTGGGAAGATTCATGCTAACAGTGACCTCCTAGACCTCTTCACCTGCTCCAGTGCTCCCTACTTGGAGCTCTTGTTTAATTCTGAGCAAAGGTGCTTTGTCTGGGCCTGGTGGCTATGTGAGGACACATCTTAGGGTCTGGAGAAGCCCCCTGACTCCTGCCGTACTGATGATGGTGTTACCTGGACTTCCTTGAACCCAACCTGAATGGTCATTTCCCATTCTGGTGGGACCAGTGGGCACAGTTTGACTGACAGTGTCAGAGGCAGCCCTGGGAATGGGAGTGGCGCTCATTGGGTAAGCTTATGCCTAGCTTTAGGTTAGGTCTCCTTAGGTTCTCTCTTTCGGTACTTGGTGGGCATGATGATCCTGTCCATTTTACATGCAACTCAAGGAGGCTGTATTAGTCAGCTTTTTGCTACTGTAACAAAATACTTGAGACAAGCTACCTTTATAAAGTGAAGAAGTTTTTTTTAGCTCACTGTTTTGGAGGCTGAAAGTCCAAACAGTACAGCATAGACTCTAACAAGGCTGTCCCTTGGTTGTGTCACTTCTTGGCAAGTGATAATGGTGGAAGCCCATGGTAGAACAAGCAGATGATTACATCTTCAGCCAAGAGCAGAGAGAACTTAGTGGGGTTGGACTTGTTCTTTTTGTAACAGCCCTCTTGTGAGAACTACCAAGGGCCTCATGAGAATTCTTTCACATCCTAGTGACCTCAGGACTTCCTCATAGGCCCCACCTCTTAAAGATTTCACTTCTTTTTAGTACAACAACCCTCCAATCACATGAACTTATCAGGGAGCACAAGCTACATCCAAGCTGTAGCAGAGGTCCTGAGTTTAGCAGACACACTGGCATCACACCACCTGGGCCTACATCCAGCCAGGCTCTCCAACTCAGGTCCCTGCTCCTAGCCCCTATGCTTGCCTTTCTCATTCATAGCCAGAGGATGCTGGACCTAGCAAGCACCCAGGGTCCCCATGCTTGGAGAGTTGGTGAGTTCTTGGGTCTCTCTTAGGTACAGTCTTGGGAAAGAGCTGGGTGCAAGGCCTGGCTGTCCTGGAATGGGTCTGGAGGCTTCATTCCACACCAGGCTGGTGTGGAGCCTGAGTATAAATCCCTGGAACATTCCCCACCCCACTCCCAGGCAGGTCTGCTCAAGAAGCCTTGCTCCCTTAGGTCTGGAGTGAATTGAATTCATTTCCTGGATGGGTCCAGAATCCCCGGTGAGAGGATGGGTTCTGGAAAGGATATCTGGAAATTTCCAGAAGGTTTTTGTTGGACGTTGTGTACACAAAGTGACAGGAGGAAAGTATTGAATTGGAGGAAGATAATGGCAGGTTAACATCCACATCTGATGTCTGTCAGAAATGATGCATTCTAGGGGATCGTGAAAGGTGTCACTGGGGCTTCTCTAGAACTAAAAGCACAGGCTTTTGGAGGGAGACTAAGGTTGGGTCTGATTCTGGGCTTCAGGTGGCCTCATGATCTTCAGTGAGTTGCTCCATCTGGCTTGCCTATATTCTGGAAGGTGTGGGTAATGAGTGACTCCTCCTCTGGCCCAGGTTAGGATAACTGGGGTAATGTCTATGGAGACTCAGCATGCCAGATGGCCCAGTGGGAACCGTGGAACCGTGGTTTCTCACTGTTCCTGTTACTGTGACTGGGCCTAGGAATTATGAATCAGGTTTTAGAGCCTCTGTCAGATGTCTTGAGTTAGAAATTAGAGCCCAGGTGTGAGTGTACACAGTGTGCACAAGCAGGTGCCTGGAGATGAGGTGGACCTCGGCATGCATAGGAGATTGCATGCCAAGTTGGCAGGCTCAGGTGGTTGGCAACAGGGAGTTCCTGCACATCTGCCTGGCTCTGGAATTTGGCCTCTCCTGGGGTCAAAATTGGAGTGTTGAGCAGGAGCCATCCTAGTTCAACCTGATGTTACCTCCTACTTGCTGTATTGTGGTGGAAATTGAGAGGAGAGGGCAGCTCTGGGATGTGCTCAAGAAGGAAACCACCTCAGCTGGGAGTGACTGGATGAAGGGTATAAAAGCCCTTGGTGAATCCTGCCTCCCCTTGGGCACAGAGATTGCTCCCTGGGCCTTCCCCAAGTCCCATGAGGGATTGACTTCTTTGGCCTGGGGAGTCTAGGCCACTCCCTAAGTGGCCCCATAGGGACAGTGGTTTGTCCCCTGACTCCTTAGGACCTTTAAGGCACCTGAGAGCCTCTAGTTCATGGCTCCTTCCATATGAGATTTCCTTCTTTAAACACCAGTTCATCCTGTGGCCCCTCAACTTGTCCTAGTCTGAGACAGAAGGGGGACACCCAGGTGTATATTCTACATTGTTCTGTGAATTACAGTCTACTCAGCTTACATGGAGCAAGGGCTCCAGTGCACAGGAGGGCTGGGGCCAGCAGTGGGCCTCTCTGAGCCTAAGCCTCCTCTCGGCTTGGTTGTTAGGGCTGCCTGCTGACGGCAGGGAGAGGGCAAGTTATGTGTGTCTTGGAGAGGCCTAGGCCCTTCAGAGTCAGCGAGAACTCCTTGACTGATCCCCAAGGCAGTCTTGTTCTAGGCCAGCAGGAAGTATTAGGTGGGGGTCTGTGAATGGTGCACCCTGGATTTTCCTTATTGTGCATGCAGAGCCCAGTTTGTATTCTTCCAGAAGGGTAGCCAGAGGCTGGAACTTCCTGAACTCTTTCCTGCCCTCTAGAGGGTCTGTTCTGCAGGAGCACTGCTGGCTGAATCTCCTCCACCTCCCTCCCCTCACCCTGCAGGTGCAGAGAGCCCTCCTGGGAGGCACATCCTGGTGTTCCTGGGCCCTGCTTCTTGCAGAGAGCCCTCCTGGGAGGCTTTTCCTGGCACTCCTGTACCCACTCCCTGCTGTTATGGAGGCACATGGCCCTTTCACACAAGTGTAAGTGGCCATAATTACCTTTGAAGTTCCCTCAGAGAATTATAGCAATGCAAGTGACACAGCTTTTGTGTGGGAAAAGGGGCTTGGTGAGCCTTTCCTGAGCTGCTAGCACCCCAGGCTGTGGCAGCCCTCCCCGTTTTCAGAGAGCCCTGGCTGCAGAAAGCAGAGCTGGGGGAGACTGTTGTGGGCTTCTTAGCTCCTGCTTGACCCGGGAGACAGAGGGTGGGGGAATGACCAAGGCTTTTGACTTTGCCGTGGTACAGAGGAGGGTCTCTCGGACACAATAGGCATCCATGCTGAGATGTCCATCTCTCTCCATGCAGAGCATCCACTGTGGAGGACTGTCCTCCTTCAGCATCAGGGGGACTGTGAGGTCTGCAGCCTGGAGGCTCAGCTTCACCTGCACAAGCACCTGGTAGCCTATGTGTGGCCAGTCCCATCTCATTCCCATCCTCCCAGAGCTCATCTATACTTCAGAACCGGGAGGGGAAGCAGGGCCTCTGCCCTGCCTCATGTTTGCCAGCTTCAGCCCCATCCCCTCAGCATGCAAGTTGCTGGAACAGCAGAGACCTAAAAGAACGGTGGCTTCACTGAGACAGCACTGCCCTTCTCTTCTATGGAAAGACCCAGAGGAAGGCCTCCAGCAGCAGGGACCCAGGCTGGCTCTCCTGGTCCATGACGGTGGCTGAACCTCCAGGGACCCAGGCTGGCTCTCCTGGTCCATGACGGTGGCTGAACCTCCAGCCATCATAGCCAAGATGTAGGTGTTAGGATAGAGAGCAAGGGGGAGGGGACAAGGCCTAGTTACCGTTTAATCTACAACATGATGCGCTCCTTCCTCATTGGCCAGCGTTAGTCACATGCTGAGCTAGAGGGGAGTTGGGAAATGCAGTCCTCATTCAGGGCAGCTGTGTGCCCCACTGAAGTCTGGCCCGTCACCTTCCAAGACATGGGTTCCTATTTTGGGTGAATTGTATTTTCAGTGGTCATTGCTCCTCTGGCTGGCCAGGGCTGTGGCCTCAGCCTGTGACCTCAGCAGCAGCCTGAGGTGGGGTGCCAGCTTCAGAGTGACCCACCTAAAGCACTGATAACTGCTGGGAGGCAGCCACTTGGGGACAGGCTGTACCCATATCCAGGTCTACCCCATACCCAGAGGAATTGGCAACCCTGAACTTGGATCCAATTTAGACCAGATATTGCCTGGTGCAGGCATGGGGGAAGGAGGGAGGAGTTTGCGGCAACAAATTATGACTTGGCTTGCATGCATTTGAAGGTCAGTTCTCATGGGGGCAGCCTGTATGCCACACAGCCAGGGTCCACAGACAGAAGCCCCAACGCTGAGGCCTGGTCTGCCCTGCCCAGCAGAACCATTCTGAGCAAGGCTGTAGCAAGCTCCCAGGTTGGCTGGAGCATGTGTAAGAAGGCATTGGGATCATGATTGGGGGACAGGGGTTTGTATCCTTGTTCCCAGGGATAGTAGATGTATAGGGTCTCAGGCCAAGGGCAATGGCTGG